AGCTGAGTCTATGTTTGTTTATTTTTGTCTATTGAAACTGCAGAGATCTACATATTTAATTATTTTTTATTGATACTTTCTAGAATCTGTATGTAATAGATTATATGAAATAGATTTTTGTATTAACACCAATTTGTATATTGAAGCAAGTTTAAATGTGTACACAAATGTAAATATGGATGTAATTGGCATTTTAGGGTCGAATTAATCCGACTTGAGCCAGCTAGCGGTACCCCCAGGCTTGGGCCTTGTTTTTATGTATTATCCACTCCTGGGGGGAAGGGAGACGTGTGACGAGCATGTCAGCCCCATCCCAGTACCTATCTTATTTGGCCTGCCTGAGCTTTCTTTGGTCACACGGCAATAGGAATGGAGAAGATTTGTATTCGATAGCAGTAGCTTCATTTTTGCGCCGGCCGGGAATCGAACCCGGCACCGCCTCTCAAAAAGCTAGCACCATATCCCGAGGGTGCATTCACAAGTCCACCCGAATGTATAGTAGTCCCCCGATTTGTATACACAAATGTAATATAATTAAATGTTTCTTTGTTCAATGGGAGTTTATTGTGATAAGTAAATTGGGTGTGTCGCTTTATCAACCCTTCCTTTGATCATATGACTGGTTTCGTGTGCGTCATAAGTTACGAAATGACACTCGCTGATTCGGGCAGAATAGCTTTTTACGATACCGTTTTCCCTTAACGTTAATGTAACGTACAACGTTAGACTTGGCGTACCCACGGAGGCTCAAACGTGGTTTAATAGTGCATACGTCTAGGTGCTTTGTGTTGAGGAAAATGATAGATAAATTACTTCGGGTTTTCGGGATCGTCAAAGCCTATGGTTATTAATCCCTTAAGTGTATTGCATGCAATTATTACTACATGCTCCACTACGGGAGATGGCAGTGATCTCCCACGGCTGGTTCATGAGATCCACCGCCGATCTACACGTCGGCCTGCGGGGGATTTCTCCAACCAGTCCGCCTTCACCGCCCCAGCTAGGAAACGCTCTAAGCTTCCCACTGATCTCCCGACATGTGTGGTAGTGTGGGGCATATAATTTTCAGTGTGGGTGTGTGTAAGTGGAGAGGAGGAAGCAACAATAAGGAAGAGAAGATCGCGCGCGATCCGTGACCCGTTTCCTAAGGGACTGCTACGGCATTCGCCTGGTCTTGATCGAAGAAATTCCAATGAGAGCAGTCGACCGCTAGAATTCTCCTCCAGCGGCTGAATTGTACCTAGCTATATAGCCTCCTGCCGCTGTCGGGACTCGAATCCTAGCACTTACCGGTCAGGGGTATTGCAATGTCTTCAGTTGAAGTACCTAAGCTGGTAGCTCTTCCATCTGTACCTGGTAGACGTTCTGTCCCTGCGCGTTAGAGCGCGCCGCCACGAGCGGGCCGCCGCTGTCGCCCGTGCACGAGTCCTTGCCGTCCACGCCGCCCACGCACAGCTGCGTCGGCTGGATGTCCACGTTGAGGCTGCGGGCGCACTGGGCGCGCTGCTGCACGGGCAGCTGCACGAAGCGCAGGCGGTCGCTGCTCGTATCTGCGCACGCCCGGCCACGCCCCGCCCCCGACGCGTCAGCGCCTCTCTCTGCACTCCGCACTCTTCGACGCACGTCTGCGCGGCGTCTCCGGGCCCGCACGGCAAAAGACGGGGGCGAGGAAGTGCGGGAAAGAATCAGGATGGAGCCCGAAATGGAACGCAATGTTAGCAAGGAGGAGAGAGGTGCCTGATCAGATGACGCCAACGCAATTCCCGAAGGAGATGCGGGAAACAAAGCGGAAAACATGCATAAATAAGGAAGAAAAAGGCGTTGATATTCGAACGGGGAGAAAATATCGAAGGTTGCTGTAGAGCAAGATATAACATTTAGGAAGAACCAGCCGTTTTGATATGGAGGCAAAACCGTCAAATCAGGCACAGAGTTGGCGTGTAGCGCTCACTTTTATCAGTGAAGCTTTATCCTGGGACGATCGGGGAGGAACGGAGATTGAGGAATGGCAGAGGGCGATGAAGGCAAAGGGAGGACGCTAAGAAAGGTCATGAAAGACTGGGTAAGGAGTCTGAAGACCAATAAATAACAAAGAAGAGGATTCATTTAGTGTGAGGCAGAACGTCGAATGAAGCAGGGATTAGGCTAGTTGCAAAATGAGACGCAGGTCCGGGACGTGCCGTAAAGCAGTGTGACTCATGCCGAATTTCTCATGGTAAAGTGAGTCTTAGCGGCAATCACCGCAAGATGGGCCGCAGTTCACTCCGGTACTCGCGCTGGCGATGATGTAGAGTATTTACGCGATGTTAGTGGATTTGAGTTCTAAATCGGATTCCGAAAGCGAGTTGGAGTTAGAAACGTTATGTTACGCCGTTCTGTTGGAGCAAAGTGAAGAGAGAAGCAATTACATGAAGAAAAGGAAAACACATGGGCAATTTGCTTTAGGAAATTAATAATGAATTTCAATCAGTTTTTCTTCGATTTTTAGCAGTCACAGAAGCTTCGCAGGAAACTGCTTGCAAGGCGCACTTCGCTCCGCAGGGCCACCATTCGCAGAACGGCGACACGTCACCCTTGCGCTCTAACGTGCGCGGGTCCGATAAGCATAGTAGTTCGCAGAAAGTCACCATGAGATACTCTGTTTCACATCAAGGACCTGCGTCTCATTCTGTGACAAGCTCACCGTTCTCGGACACCCCATTTGGCGTCAACCAGGCGCCCGCGCTGAGAAGGAGCTGAGGTTGTAGAAGAGCGGATGATGATGAAAGCAATAGAAGAACGCTAAGACAGACCGTGAAACGAGGAAGGATCCTAAACAGTAGGGAATAACAAAGAAGAGTAAGCAGCTAATTTGGTGTAAAGGTAGAACAGTCGAATCAGGCTGGGAGTGGGCGTGCGGCCGTTCTCGGTGAAGCCTGAACTAGTGACCCTGCTGATGCCTGAATTGGCGGACGACGCAATCGTCCGAAGAAGCAAAAACAAGAGAATGATGAACAATAAGGGGGAAGAGGATGATAAGTAGGGGCAGATTTTAATTAAATGTTTTGTTTCTCTTCACAACAATGCCGATTATTATAGAAAATAATTTTTTGTATAACAACATTATACACAATCTCTTATGGCATTGAAAATTGCACAGAAAGCGCAGTATTTTGAAACTAGTTCAAAAAATAACGTAAGTCATCAAATAATTGCTGGGAGTAAGGTGTTTTATTTACGCAGAAAACACTGAAAATAAGAATTACAAATCGACAAAGGAAACACTAAAAAAAATTTAACTAATCATTACTCAAAAAACACTTATTAATAATGAAAATGAAATGTGCAATTCGAGAATCCAGAACTTTCAGAAACTGTGGTTTCCTTTGAAGTGTGAGGTTTGGATGGATCGCCTGTATTCGGCATCTCTCCCCCAGATTCAATTGTCCTGGCGATTCTAACCTTATTTGTTTCTGACTCCTCAATGAATTGTTCTGCAACACTAGTTAAAGGCCATTCGTATTTTTCTCTTCCATGCAAGTTACAAATTAATTACATTCTTAATCATAATTTTCAGCTGATTATATAGGAATTAGCGACAATTCTGCTTTAGGAACTTCATTAATTATTGCCTCTGGTAAATCCATTTTACAACGAACAATAAACACCCCGGTCAACCACGGCCACCCCTATTACAGTCGGCCTTTGCCTACATTATGTACGTAACATACCATTCTACTTCCTGGTTCAGTAACTATTTTCCCCTTATAATAATTTTATAATGATGTTTTACAAAAATAGCGTATGGAATTCGTTTAAAACTTTTGCACCTTTGAACTCATAAGAATAGCCGCATTCACTCCGTCGTCGTTCATGCTGATATTCTTATTCTTGCAAAAAACAAACAAAAAACATTAAAAATAATTGCATAATATACTATTATGTTATGAAGAAAGGAAATTACACATTTTATATCATTTTTCACATCATATTTCACATCATATCATCACATTCATATTTTTATGTCCTTGTTTTGTCTTTTCCTCTGATTTTATTAATTTTAATATCATTTTCATTATACTTGCTTCAAATTTTTTTACGAGATGCCACAAACTTTCTCCAAAGAATTCCTGAGTTGCCTATTCGATTTCTTCCCTCAGAAATTGTATTATCAGCTATTGTGTGGAATCTAAAGTTCCTGTGACGCCTTTTAGCGCCATTATCGGTTTTTTGCGCCATTATCGGTTTGGCGAATTTCGGGATAACTATTAAAAGTTCCCTGAACAGTCCGAAGTTGAAGGTTCCTAAAGAACAGTCCAAACCAAAGATCAGCACGCTGAGTGCACTTGAAAGAATAGGAGAAGCTGCGATTACATCAGTAACGTATGCAGCTTGACTTGTTCATCTGCACTGGTTTCATCTCATTTTTAGATAATATTGTTTATTATTTTTGTCAATATTTTTGATCATCAGAATCTGCCCCTAGTGATACGCAAAGTGGGAGAAAATCACCAATGTCTGAAGAATAAAGCTGCCTCTAGAACCTTCGGTTACGAATAAAAGGAAATAGCTAATTTGGTTTGAAAGCAGAATAGTCGAAAGAGACCAAGAATAGGCGAGTCGCACTCACCCTTATCAGCGACGCCCCATCCGGCGACGAGCAGGTACTCGCCCCAAGAAGGAGCTGAGGATGAAGTGGGGTGCAGGACAATAGAGTCAAAAAGAGGAGGCTAAAGTAGACCACGGAAGAACGAGGAAGGAACTGAAAAGCAAATAATAACAAGCAGGACGCAGCAGCCATTTGAGCGAGGAGGCAGAAGGGTGGCGCTCACCGTTCTCGGTGGCGCCCCATCCGGCTCGCCCCAAGAAGGAGCTGAGGATGATGTGGGGTGGAGGACAACAGAGTCAAAAAGAGGAGGCTAAAGTAGACCACGGAAGAACGAGGAAGGAACTGAAAAGCAAGTAATAACAAGCAGGACGCAGCAGCCATTTGAGCGACGAGGCAGAAGGGTTGCGCTCACCGTTCTCGGTGGCGCCCCATCCGGCCACGGTGAGGCGCTCGCCCTGCCGAGCGTCGGCGTCGCCGCTGCGGGCGTCGGCCGCCACCTCGGGCAAGCACAGCGGCCGGATGTAGTCGGTGTAGGGCGCGGGCCGGTCGAGGCGCAGCAGGGCGATGTCGGCGGCGTTGTGGCGGGCGCCCGGCGGCGGCTTCTTGACCGCCACGTAGCCCGGATGCAGCAGCTGCCGCTCCACGGCGAAGTCGACGGGCGGCGGCGCGCAGTGCGTCTCCAGGCAGTCCCGCGCGCTGCCCGTGTCCCATTCGCCCAGGCGCACCTTCGTCCTGCGCACCGCACGCACGCGCCTCTCGTACTCGGCATTCCGAGGGGTCGACTGATTCGCGGTTCCGCGCGTGACGACGCCTAAGCTCATTAGGCCCGTACGTGTAGTGCATGTTTTGTCGCGGGAGGTGGCGGTGATCTCAATTCGCTGATTGGCGAGATCCAGCGCCGACGTGTTAGCGGTTCCGCGCGTGACGACGCCTAAGCTCATCAGGCCCGTACGTGTAGTGCATGTTTTGTCGCGGGAGGTGGCGGTGATCTCCCTTGGCTGATTGGCGAGATCCAGCGCCGAATTACACGTCAGCTCGTAGTGTTTTCTCCGACCAAGCACCACCCACCATCGGGGCACCCTCCCAGTCGGGACGATGTCTATGCTCCCAACTGGTCTCCAGACATTAAAAGAATGTTGTGCATTACTTTTGGAATGACCAACGCGACATTGAGTTGCTGTTACAAATAATGCGAAAAAGTATGTATTCCTGTAGCTCCACTAGTGGTGTTTTTTGAATGGAAAGAAGCAGTTCGGTAAGAGGACCCTACAGTTTTAATTGATGGATTATTTCTTGTGTCCGCGCACGTCAACTGTTAATGTCATTATTCCCAAAAGTGAATAATTGCGCACTTCTTCCTCGATATGTGGCGATGATATTCCCCTGCATTATGAGATTCGGCGCCAATCTACACGTCGGCTACCGGGATTTTCCTGAGCCAGGAAACTCCCACCACCCAATCACCGCCCCAGCCGGGACAAGCTATAAGCTACCGACGTATGGGGTAGTATAGTGCATGTAACAATAAGTGTGTGTAAGTAAGGGGTAAGGATAGGAAAAAGAACGGGAAGGAAAGATTGCGCGCGGTCCGTGCCTTAATTTTTAGGGTACTGCTCCGGTATTCGCCTGGCACTGATCGGAGAAACCACGGGAAACTACCGAACAGAGCAGCCGGCCAATAACATTTTCCTCCAGACAGTGAATGCGTTCCAGCAAGCTATACAGCTAGAGTGGAAAACCCTGCCACCGTCGGGGTTGTAACCCTAGGACCTCCTGGTGAGAGGCACTGCAGTGACGTCAATCGACTGAGCCACCTAAGCCGGTCTACAGACGTCAGAGACGTCACTGAAGTACTGGATGAAGCGGTGTGTAGGAGCACTCACAGGCGGTAGTTGCTGATGATGGTGGGGTGCAGGCAGTGGGCCGCTGTCACCACGTAGCGCTCGTGCACCAGGGCGCCTCCGCACAGCACCGTCTCGGGACCGCTGCCCCCTGCAACGCAACGCCGCACAAGGCTCGGATTAACATCTCACTAAGCGGGATTTGGTAAACTGCTTCCCGCGGACAGTTTTCCCTCACCATCGCTTCCTAGCTAATCCCCTTTCACTTTTGGTTAACTGAAAGAGCACAACCCGACCCCAACCCGTCAATTTTCCGCAGATTATTCGGAATTTTGTATATGAAGTCAGCTTGGGAAGAAGATGCTCTTGATAAGTAATTGCATCTTTTGTTTCCACAAACTTTGAAGTGGTGGTTTTCAACGTCGGTAGCGCTCTAAAGAGACATGCAAATATTTCGTGAAAATAGAAGAAGTGAATAAATTATAATCGGTCAATGTGATTTTAAGCAAACTAAGGGAAACGTAAAAATCAATCCTCATACTAAGGAGGAAAACAGAACGGGACGGAGTTGTGCTATGTCTTTTAGGTAAAGAGCTTACAAAAATTGACCACGTGATGTACTTTGTACACACCCGCCCTAAGCAACATCAATCTGTGCCCCCTTATAATGCTGAACATATGTATTGAAAATTAATAAGAAAATAAACAGTAACCTTTGCGCTTTAAAAAACAAAATTAATATTTAAATTCGTATAAAGCAAACCCTTCTAGTGTCTCATGGACAAAGTGCTCGCTTTCCACAGTGAGATCCTGGGATCGATTCCCGGCCGGGATCCTGGCTTCGCGAGTCGGGGATTTATATAGAATTTCTAAAGAACTCGTGGTATTACATATGATAAATGGTAACTGACTGTATGGATTTTCGATATTTGATCTCGGACTACTACGGGTCTGGAGCTTTACTGTAAATAAATAAATAAATAAATAAATAAATAAATAAATAAATAAATAAATAAATAAATAAATAAATAAAATAAATCCTACTGGTGTAAAACAACGCCGCCTGCCAGGGGAACTGGCCCGGCTCGGAGACGTTGCCGAACACGATGCGTGTGAGCTCGATGGTGACGCCACAACGGGCGTTGGAGCTGGCGCTGGCGCTCGCGCTGGCACTGGCACTGGCCCTGCTACCTCCGCCAGAGCTGGCGCTAGCGCTGGCACTGGCACTGGCGCTGGCACTGGCGCGGTTGTTGCCATTGTCCCTGTTGCCGGGGCCGTACGGGAGGCGTGGACCGCCGACGCGGCCGGGACCCTGTGGCCGAGGGGGCTGCGGCTGGCGCGGGGGCGACAGGGGCATCGTGGGCCGGTAGGGTCCCGGCTGAGGGCGGAAGTCCGGATCGAAGTCGGGGTCGAAGTCGGGGTCGAACTCTGGATCGAACTCGGGCGGCCCGAAGTGCGGGCCGTGACCGTGGTGGTGGCCGAGGTGGTGGTTTAAGTCGCGGCCCGGGACGTGGACTGGGACGGAGCCGTAGCCGAAGCGGCCGCCGTCTCCACCTTCCCGCCTCCTCGTGTCCCGATGGCTGGTCGGGAAGTTTACGTGGTCGTCATACGCAGCACCTGTGCGCAGGGACGAGCGCTAATATAAAAACCAACCTAGAAGTGAACTACAAATATATTTGTCTTATGTCAAACGCATTCGTTGCTCGACAAAGGGGAACGTTGTAGTAGAATTACGGGTGTTACTGAAATCCACAAAGACGAATTTATTATTAAATGCTATTTTAGTCTTATTTCCAGGATTAGGAATACTGACTGACGCAACATCTCAGAATGTGCCTCGGGGTGAACGAATCTCGAAAATCTTGAGTAGAAACGATCTAAAAATGCATGTAGAAACTGACTCTGTAACCGTGGTACGCTCCATGGAGCAAAAGCAGATATGTAAATTACAACCAACTGATAGTGCGGCCACTATTATAGATATGCTCGAATTGTTTCTAACGGTTGTGTAAACTTATATCTCTAATTTTGTAATTTACATTCTAGCGGAACCCGGCAGGCGTTGTCCTGCCCTTCATCTTCCTTTTTCTCCTTCCCTCTCCCTTTCTCTCTCCAACTCTCCCTCTCTATTCATCTCTCTGTCCCTGTCCCAGTCTGTCTGGTCCTGTATCTGTGTCTCCCTCTCTGTCTTAGCCTCTCTCTGTCCCTCACATTTAGTTGCAGGTTCTCTACGTCTCTGAGCAAGCGGGGTAATATCAAGAGCACCGGACTAGCAAAAATGTAATAAAATGTTCAAGACGTTCTCATGTAGATGACAGTGTGAGAAACGTTTCTTTGAAGTCTTTGGCCTCAAAAGATAAGTTTTTAATCCTCTAGAACGCTTCGTTTAGGGATAACGATATAATTAAATAATGCTGATAAGTGTCGCGGGTTGCATTTAACATGAATGTTTTGTTTTGTTCTACAGAGCCACCTAGAAGGGTTACCACAAAATTAAAATCACATAACTCTTCTGGGAGAAAAAAACACGTAGATGTGCCAACTTTGATGGAAATTGGCTTACGAATTTCTTGTTATATTGAGTCCGAAAAGTGATCCTTATATTTTTTCAAAATTTCTTCTTTTTTGAATCCCTAATACTTTAATCACATGAGACTGGTTTAATATAAAAAAATATCACAAACAGAAAGAAAAGTAAAGAACGGAGAAAACAGAATAGAAGAAAAGAAAATAATAGAGCTATTCATGTAGAAATAATTGAATTGTATTATGAATTTCATATAAAGTAGGCTAATCCTGAAAATTGAAAGATCCGTTGCAAATTCCCCGTGACTCAAGTTGAAACAAATCAATTATGGAAGAAGAAATTTAGAAAAAACTGTACGATTTAGGCGGCATTATAGTTCACAGACGGGTAGGCGGACGAATTGGGAAGACGTTATTTTTTAAACTGGCACTTTCTCGCTACTAGAGTGACACAAATCATGCACATATTTTTCCGTCGAAATCTCAAGATCGATTTTCGCAGCGTTATATTTAAAAAAATAAAAGTCGTGAAAATTTGAAACCGTTTCCAGCGATAATGAAACATATCAGAATACTGTCCACATCATGTTCCTGTTTCTGTCTGAATGTCAGTCGTATGATAAGCATTCATTATTTTCACGCATCCTTCCGTCCTGAGACACAACCTCACCATAGCCTGCGATAAGCGAAGTACGACGGGGAGCCTAGCTCCCCTTTCAATGACGCCTAGATTCAAACTTCCCTTTCACATGGCGGTTGCTAGAAGCGTCTACTGCATTTGGTAGAAGTATAGAGCTTAATAATAATCCGACACCAAATGACTTTCTGAACACAAGTTCGCGTTTTCTAGGCTGTCTGAGGAAGACGAAAAATCTTTAATCGTCATGCTAGCGGAACCCGGCTGTTGTTCTGCTCTTCATCTCCGTGTCTCTCTTTCTCTCTTCGTTGCCCCTCTCTCTTCGACTTCTCTACTCTTTCTTCCCCCTCCCCCAGAAAAAATGTAACAGAATATTGAAAAAGATCGCATCCTGTAGATTACGGTATGGGAAACTCAAAATATCGTGCCGGGTGTGTCGCGGGTTGCATTTGACATGGCTTTTGTTATATTAAGCCATCAAGTGAATTTTCCCGATATTTTAATATCACAGTGCTATTCTGTGTGGAGATTAATGCAACAAATCATAGATAACAAAAAATTGATTTTGCCGTTCTTGAGCTCTAAATGCAGTTACTAACCCGATGATGCTAGGGCATGAAAAAGAACCACGGCAGGTGCTCGGCAAAAAATAATTCTCCGACAAATTGCACTCTAATCAGAGTCCATGTTAAATTAGTCAGGATACAACTTAAGCTATAGATAAATATTACTATAAATATTTAAGACTTAATCATTTCAAACATTAGGAATATTTTTAAGGAATTAGAAACGCAACATTTCGCGAAAAGAACTCACTTCAAAATTTGTACATTACCTTACTTCAAAATCTATCTTTAAGGAACATATTTCGTTAAGAGAAAAACTCTCTATCTTCAATATTTTAGTTGTAGGAAGACTCCGATTCCTTTTATAATTTTTGAAAAATTAGTGTTTTTAACAAATGTAAGACCTGCATCCTTTTCTTAAACGACAGCAAAATTTAATTCTCTATCCAACAACAAAATGTAATAAAAAGCGACGGAACGATTTTTTTGAACATTTGGAAAACATCTTAGGGGCTTCAGGTAAAGTACCCACCTAAAATAAAATATCGGTTTGAAACTCAATGGGCCTCAACATCAGTTAGATTGATTGGGAAATATCAATTTTGGGGAAAATCGGCTTAACGGTTTAGCCTCTAGCGTTGTTCACAAACGGTCGGACAGACGTTTTGCTGTAATTCGATTTTTCGGTAGCAAGGGCCCTCAAAACATGGGTTCTCGTTATACCACGTTTTAGAGAATTTTTTTCTAAATTTAGCAACTGGATTTATCCAGTTTTTTGTTATCAGGACCCTCTAAAAGAGTGTTTTTGTCAAGAATTCGCCGCGCAGCGTTCGCTACTCCGTAGCGAGGAAGTAATAATTTGAACGCGTTCTCTCAAAATATTATTGTTTAAAAATTGCCAATACTTCAAACAAAATTGCATGAAAACTACTCAAAGATCCGAAAACTTGATTTTATTCGTTCATAGAGATCGGAGACTACTTATTTTGAAGAAAATCGTCTGAACGGTTTAGGCGCTAGCGTTGACAACAGTGTCAGAGATCACTTGGTGCTGTCACCAGACGTAGATCTAGCCAACAGTAGACGATTATATTGCAATTGAAGGGAAATGCAAGACCCTACTGGTAGGAGAACATTCACTTTCATTCAAATTTTGACAATATTCTCTTGTTGAAATTGTAATTAATTACAAAACAAATAAAAATGGATATGCGTACGGAGAGTGCCAATTAAATATACGGAGGGCGCCATAGCTTCAGTGAGCGTGGTGTTAGACCTCTTGATCTGCAAATTGCGATTACTGGTTTTTTCCATATTGAATACGTATGGCCAAATCAATCAAGTGTACTACCCCTCTGGAAAGTGCAGCTGAGTTCCCCAGAAGGACGCACTGCAACCATGCCTACGCTCTACCGTGGAAACATTTCTGTTGAATGGAAATTTGGCATAACAGGGATGCACTCTGTCCACCCATAAAAAGTTCTGCGGCGTCGAGAGCTCCGGACTGTGCAATTACAGGTTGTCGTTTTTTATTCCAACACACAGATTAATAACTTTGCATATTATCGTTGTAAAATGAAAAGAAAAGAAAAAAGAAAAGAAAAAAGAAAAGAAAAAAGAAAACAAAAGAAGAAAGAAAATAAAAAATAAAAGAAAAAAATAAAAAATAAAACAAAACAAAACAAAAGTGGAGACTAGTGGAGACTGTGGAGAATGTGTTTGGTTCCATATTGCGGTTAATGAAGTATAAGAACGCTATAGCTTCTTCACAAAGGAACATATATTTCTCTTTCAATAAGTTCCTAATTATCGTCGATGCATAACAAAAGAGACACGTTTCAAAAATCTTCATTTTTGAATTATCTGAAGAAATATATTTTGAATGATTGACGTACGTCAACTGCTACGGCCACAAGTCCCATTACTGTGGTGAAAGTGTTTTGCTGGAAATCAGTGGTGTTCTACCCTCTTGATGGTGAGATCCACCATCAACATACACGTCAGCTTGTGAAGTATTTCCTCCAAGTATACCCCTAGCCAGGCACTGACAGATCTTCTACAAGCTCTAAGCTCTCGTTTGGTCTTCGGATGTATGGCGGAGTGTAGTACATGTAAGGTTCGCTTGTGTGTAGTACATGTAAGGGTAAGGTGTGCGTAAGGGGAGAAGATAAGACAAGGAATAGCGAAGAAAGATCGCGCGCCCGTTTGTTAGAATACTGCTCCGGCTTTCGCCCGGTCTTGATCGAAGAAACCATTGACCTTACAGAGCATACAGCCGAACAGAGCATCCGGTCGCTAGGATTGTCCTTCAGACAGCTGCTGAATTCGACCTAGCTATATAGCTAGTGTCAAAAAAACGTCACCTCTTGGACCTCCCCTGTCAGCGTCGCTGCAGAGACAGCGGCAATACAAGCTCTGAGCTAAACACACCTGGTAATATATTTTGAATACAGTATATTTTTATAGTAAAAAATGCATATAGTCCATCAGACTGCCGACTAATAAATTTAGAAACATTAAAAATATTTGGCCGCGAGTAAGTGGCTCCGCTTAAATTAAAACAATTCTCCTGAAAAGAGACGATTTTTAAAATATCACTTTATTGTATACCGACGGCCGACGGACCGACGAATAAAATAAACTTCACGCGTGACTGCCTGACGTAAGCGCGTCCGCGGAAGGTCGCACGGGCCGCTCCTCAGCCGGTGGCGGCGGAGGCGGAAGCTGCGGCTACGTGTCTGGGGGACGCCACCGCCACCACTGCCCCCACCGCCGGCGTGTGCACTATCAATATAAGATGTCGCAATGGGTATATGTATGTGTTTATTAATCTTATATAACTACACGTTACTGCGAGCGACACTATTGCATTGGTTACAGAGGAAGGGTACCTGGGTGTTTTCCCTA